CTTCGCCGTGGCGAGAGTCCTCTGTGTGCAGGGCCGGCCCCTTGGCCCCCAGATCACAGGTTCCCGCTGGCAGGCACAGCTCGTTCTGGAGTCTCTACCCTTCCACTGTGACTGCTCCTTGCTGCTGGGCCACACCTTCCCCTCCGCTCCTAGTCCCGGCCCTGGTTTGGTGGGTGTTGCTGTGTCCCGGGACCTTTCTCATGAGTCCCTCCTAACCTGAGTCGTCCCCTCCTCCTGAAGGCCGCTGTCCAGCGCGTTCTCCACCGAGGATTGGATACTCTCACGCGTGCACCCTCAAGCACCCGGCTGTGTGTGCCTCCTCCAGCTCCTGCAAGCCCCCAGGGCATCTCTTTGCCCTGTGGCTGCAGTGCTCTGTCACTCTCCCTGTCGTTTCAGGCTGGTGGTGACAGGGACATGGTTGCTGTGGGCTCATAGGGCATCCTGGTGGGGACTTGAACTAGCTGTGTGACACTGATCCAAACACGTTGCCTCTCAGGACTGAGCTTTTTGTCTGTGGAATGGGCACAGTAATGCCCCGCCACCTCCTTCCCAGGTCAGGCGGGAGCAGGCCTGAGTCCCGGGTGTGTTCCGTGCCGGGCTGAATCCTCTGTGCTCCGTGTCTGTAACTGCTCTGTGCCAGCACCAGCTCGCTCACCACTCCAGATCCAGGCGCCTTCCTCCATAGCCCTGGCCCCACCCCTTCTCCCCTAATCAGGATGAAAATAGCAACCGCCGGCACTTCCCAGTGCCATTTGGTGCCAGGTGCTGCCATCTCTGGGGTGTGGCAACGAGGTGACACGGGGAACTGCCAGGAACCCAGAGTCCGCAGACCCTGGGGCTTGGAGTCCTTCCTTCCCTCCTCTCCTTGGTGGCCCAGGGCAGGTTCCTGAGCCCTCTGTGCTTTGGCGTCCCGTGTGATATAACATGTGGTTCTGTGCACATGGAATGACAGCCTGGATATTACATGCTGAGGTGCAAACTTTCCAGGTGCACCTGCTGGGTGCCAGGTCCCATCTCAGAAGGTGAGAGGGAGATGGGATATGACATCGGGCTGGCCTGCCCCTGATACACCCATGCTGCTCACCCACTTATTTCTATGCCTTTGTTTGGCTACAGACAAATGTAGCAAGGTGCCCTTGAGGAGCCAGTGGGCAGGGCGGGGGTGGCGGGCTATGTATGGAGTCCCCTGCTTTCACTCGTCACTGAGTTCTTCTCGAGTCCTGTCATCTTGCCCCCAATTTGCCTGGGGCTCTGAGGCTGACAGGCAGGGGTCAGAGGGCCCCACCGGCCCCTGGTGTGAGCAGGCTCCAAGCCTCCTTCACAGGCCACCCACCAAGCTCAGGGATCCACCATGCCAACTTGGGCCAGCCCCACCCCGCCATCCCCGTGTCCAGCTCTGCTCTGAGCAGAGAAGGGGACAGCCAGCAGTGGCCTTGCCATCACCAGCTGTGTGGCCCTCAGGTTCCAGTGGCCACCCTGGGCCTGTGCCCTTGCATGAGTTTGCCAGGGTGGATGTAACCAGCACCACAGACAGGCTGCTTAGGCAAAGAAAAACAGAGATTCATTTCCTCATGCTTCCAGAGGCTGGAGGTCCGAGCTCAATGCGCCTGCAGGGCGGGCTCCTCCTGAGGCCTCACTCCTGGGAGTGGAGATGCCGCCTCCTCCCCGTGTCCTCATGTAGTTCCCGCTCTGTGTGTCTGTGTCCTCATCTCCTCCTCTTATGAGGACACATGTCCTACTGGGGGTGGGACGTAGAAATGAAAGTTCCCTTTCCTGTTAAATCATAAGTGTGCTAATAACTTTGTGAAGCCCTATCCTCTGTAGCTGTTAGACTGCCATGTTACAGGCACGTAGTCCATTCTGTGTCCTTGTACTTTTACCAAGATATCTGTGCTGGACGTGCTCACAGGCATGTCCCAGCTCTCCGTTGCTTTTACCTGTTTAGAAAAGTGTTAAGTTGTTAGCCAATCCAGATTTAGTTTAGATTGTGAGGTCTGGCTCCAGCCAACGGAGATCAGACCCAGCAGTGAGGACGACCCCAAATGCGTAAGGGATAAATGTGTGTGTTTTCCTTTGTTCATTGCACTCTCATGGCAAGATGGCTAACGAGGGTGCCCCTCCTGCAGTCCAGGAAGTAAACATTGTGATGCCGAAAGATACAGACGCTCAGTGCCGATTGTACTTTGTGGCACCGAGCGTCTATTTCCAACATCTGTTTCTAACACTGGGGTAGGGCCCACCTTCAGGGTCTCACTTACCTTCATGGCCTCTTTAAGGACCCTACCTTCAAATGCAATCACTTTGGGAGGTATGGGAGTTAGGACTTCAACAGATGAATTTGTCGGGGGGATACAATTTAGCCATAAATTGTAAATGGGCAAATGGGACGGCTATGAGGAGCCTCAGAGCAGGGTGGTGGGCACCCGGCAGTATCAAGCGCCTCCCTTTGGGGGTGTGGTCCATGTCTGTCCACCAGGCAGGGGCTCTGTCTGACTCTCCGTACAGCACCACATTTGGACCCGTCAAACAGGGACTGGGCACCCAGCAAATGTCTGGAGGGTGGACCGGATATGAGGGGCTAGGCATGCTGGGGCTGCCTGGCGTGGCTTCCCTCCGGCTCCTGCCTGCCCACTCGTAATCCTGGCTGTTCAGGAAATGAACATTCCTCAGGCACTTGCTCTGCCTCACGATGTCTGCTGTCGCCCCTTTTCTGTTGGGGTACTGCCTGCCCCAGCCCAAGTGGTTCAGATGGCACTGCCGGTCACAGCACCCTGGCCTCTGCCCCTGCAGCCCCCTCGGCTCCAGTGTGACACATGACCAAATGGGGCTGATGAGACTCCTTCCAGATTTGCTGGAAGGTGTGCGGCGGGAGGGGGTCCTCTTTGGGATCGCTGCTGTGAGGATGGAGGCTCTGTCTCCACAGGGAGAAGCAGAGAGGTTCAGAGATAAGAGGTGAGAAGGAGCTGGCGTCCTGCTGGCAGAGAGATCTCCACTGCTGCACCCAAACACACAGTTTGCCTTTCAGGCTTGACTGAGGTGAGTCATCTGTGCACAAAATGACCCTGACAATGACGCACAGCCTGGCCAAGCTCTTGAGGTGTGGGGACAGCAGCGAGGGGCTCACACAGGAAAGCCCTGGGCCTTTCCTCCCAGGAGCAGCTCACCTGTGCTGTTGGGGAGAGAGGAGAGCCCGGACAGTCAGCAGTGAAAACAACAGAAGTACGGCCGCAGTGCCAGAGGCAGGAGGTGGTGTCATGGGGCCCCGTCCTCCCCCAGAGCCTTGGCAGGTCAGGGTCTGGGGTCATTTCTGACCAGGCTGGCTCAGGAGGGCTTCCAGGAGTGGGCCGCTCTGCAGCTGAGCCTGGCAGGCTGGATAAAGTTAGTGTTGGGCTGGTACCCCTGGGAGGATATGGCCAGAGCAGGGAGCGGGAGGCAGGAAAGTAGAGCTTGTGTTTGGGAAAAACAAGTCCTGTTTCCCTGGAGGACAGAGATAAGGCAGGAAAGCCTCGAGGGTTTGGGCAGCAGGGGGTGGGGAGCCAGAGAGGTCTGGCGGTCAGGCCCGGAGCTGGATGGGGGCTCTGGGCACAACTGTGAGTCATCTTGGCCATCCTGGGGAGAGAGTCCTGCAGACAGCGCGCCATCTCGCCCTATGCTGCCTGCTGAGGCACAGGACAGACGCCGCTGTGCAGCCCCTGTGGATGCGCTGGATCTTTTGCCCTGAAATCACTGGGGGCCCCAGTTCTGCAGACAGGAACCTGAGCCTTGGAGAAATACAGCTGCCCTGAGTGCCTGCCTCAACCCAGGTCCATCAAGGCTGGGCCTGGAGGAGGATCAAAGAGGGACGCTGAATCTTGACCCAAGGAGCTTCAGGTGCATTTGAGCTGGGGCAGATCCAGTTCTGGAGTCTTTGGATTGAAAGGCTGGAGATGCCTGTAGGACTCCCAGGGTCAGTGGGTTGAGGGCAGCGCATTGGCACGGCAAGGGTGGGGCAGAGCACAGAGGACCCAGCCTGGGGAGAGGGAGGCAGAGAGGGCTGGGCAAAAACAGCCACCAGGCCTGTGTATTTTCTCCACTCCGGGTCTCCTCCGCCCTCCCACCCCAGCCTCCAGCAACAATCCTCCTGGGTAGGACGCCAGCGTGCTGCAGGGCGATCCCCTCTACCCCTTGGCTGAGCACTCTCCTGTGAGCTGGACAGCCTTGAAGCGGGGTGGTGGGTGGTTTCTTCTGGAGGGTCCAGCACCTGGGAGCAGGTGGGCTTAGAGTGCGTCCCCCGTACCGATGTCCTCCCCGGCAGGGTAGAGCCTGGGGAGATGCAGGGTCGTGGGGCGTGGGCAGTGGGGTATTCCTTGGATGAGAAAGGTGAGATTCAGAGAAAGGGTGGGCCCAGAGGTCCAGATCCTGGGGACAGACAGCACCCCGGGCACCCTGGGGTGGGCGCGCCAGGTACTGCGCGACTCTCGCGGGGTTCGTGCTGCGTCCCGTAACGCGCGGGCCGCAGGTCCAGCCCCCTGGGGCTGCGCTCGGGGCCCCGCGTGGCGGCCGGGGACGGGCATTTCCGCCCGGGACGCGGGTCTGCCCCGCAGCCCAGCCCCGACCCAGCTCCTGCGCGGCGGGCGGCCCCGCGGGGCGCGGGCGAGGCCACAGCAGCGTGCGTGCTCGTCCGCCCTGGCAGGCGCGGGGACGGCGTGGCCGTGGCCGGCGGCGGCCGCGCGTGCGCGTGGGTGCGAGCGGCGGGGGCGCACGTGGCCACCCAAACAAAGGCGGCGCCGCGTGACCGAGCTCGCGCGCGCGGACCCGCCGGGGGCAGGCGCGCCCCCGAGGACCCCGAGCCGGCCGCGGGTCGGGGGCGGGGCCGCGGCGGGGCGCGGGGCGCGGCCCCTTTAAGGCGAGCGCGGGGCGGGGCGGCGGCTGCGCAGCGGGGCGGGGGGCGCGCAGACTCCGCGCAGCGGGACGCGAACGCGCGACCTGGCGCCGCCGCCGCCGCCTCCGCGCTCGTGGCCGGGACCCGCGGGGCCGCCTCCTCCCGGCTCCCCGGCGCCGCTGGGCTCCCGGGCGGGCGGCAGGTGCAGCGCGGCCGGGCGGCCGGCGAGGGGGGCGCCGCGGCGGGTGGATGAGAGTTGGCCCCGATCTCCGCTCAGGGTAAGCGGCGCGCGCGGACGCCTCACGCCCGGCCCTGGTTGCCCCGCGGCCGCGCTCCCCCCGCCGCCGCCCGGGCCCCAGCCGGCGACCCTCGGAGCAGGGCCCCGCGCGGGCGCGCCCCGCACACGCCCCCGGGTCCCGCGCGTCACGGCCGCCCCCCGTGGGCACCGGCAGCGGCTGGTCCGGGTTCTGCCCGCCGGTCGGGGGACACGAGAGCGTCCCCGGGTTGCGGGGCCCGGACTACGGCGGGGGTCGCCCGACCGGGGTCACCGACGTGGGGCCACTGGAGGGGGACGGGACCGGCCCGGGCCCGCCAATGTCGCGCTGCGGATCCACTCCCGTGTGGGACGGGAGAGGAGGGGGGCGCCCCAGCCCCTGCTTCCCTAGAGACGACCTCGCCAAAAGTTGTGGGCGCTTATCCCCCGGATGCACCCCACTTTCTGCCCTGTCTCTTCTCCCTTTGTTTGGGACGTTGAGCTTGTGGGGCTCTCTGCTGGGGCGGGCTGGCACCTGGGCTGGAGCCCAGGCCCGTGCGCCTGCCAGAACGTGGGGTGCAGTGTGGCAACCCCGGCCTGAGGCCCCACAGGCCCAGAGCAGGACCTGCACCCCTGCCAGGCCCTGGACAAGGGAGGGAGGAGAGCCTGTTTGTTCGCAGCCGGGTGGGCTGGTGCCCTTGCCCTGTTGGCTTCCTGGCAGAAGGTGCAGCAGTGCCCCAGGGCCAAGTACACTTCTGCGGCTTTTGTCAACCCTGCATCTCCAGAGGTAGCAAAGATTCGGTTTGGGGGAGACGTTTTGCGGGATGGGGTTCCTTTCTTGCCTGCCTTGTGTGGGTTAGGGAGAAAATTCAGGGGTGTCTCTCCTACACACCCAAAATGAGATGTCTTAGTCCCAGCCCAGTGCAGCTCTGCCCTGGGGCTGGCTTTGGGGCTGGGCCTGTGGGGGAGGTCAGGGCCAGGGCTCTGTTGGCTCAGGAGTAGAGGACAGTGCTGAAGGAGGAGTCTGGGACTTGCCTCCCTCAACCCGCCTGCTCTGTGACCTTGGGCAAGGTAGTGAGCCTCCTGGGCCTCAGTTTCCTCACTAGCGAGTGGGGAGAGGCAGGTAGCAAGATCGAATGAGATAATGTGGGCCTCCCTCAGGCCAGGCTCGCCCTGGGTCAGAGGTCAGAATGGGCTTCGGAGGTCGGTCATGGCCTCTGCCCTGGGCAGCTGTGGCTGTGCCTGAAGTCTGTTTTCCTGACTTTGTGTCCCAGGCCCATTTGGGGACACACAGTCTGGCGGGGAGAGTGTGTTCAGTTGCTGCTCCTGCCTCGTGCTGGGGTGAAGCCACATTCCACTGTTGTTAGCTGGGACTCCCCACATGAGTGACCTCATTAAGCCTGCCCCTCCTTCCTGCCGCAGACCCCTCCGAAGACCCCTGCCTGGCCCAGGAAAGGGGCCCTGCTTTCTGCAGCACTTTGTGGTCCCAGGGCAGGGATCTCGATGCCCCACAGTCTTCACTGTGCTGGGCTCAGAGGGATATGCAGTTTGGTCCTGGAGCCTGGGAAGTCAGGCACCTGGGGTCTCAGTGGACCACCAGTCCTCTGCTCTGCCGCCCTTTCCTCTCAGCTGCCCCTGCGGCTGATGTGTGGTGTGGAGTGCGGCTGTCCCAGCCATGCAGCCTGGGGGCAGGCGGGGCCTGTCCTGTGATGTCTGTCTTGTACTCTGGAGAGCCATTTCCTGGAAACTACCCGGCAAAGTCTCAAAGTTGTGGTCTGTTTCGACATGGCCCTGGGAGGCTGTTTATTCTGGGTCTCCTGCTGAGGGAGGTGGAGGACCCTTCACTGCGAAAGAACCAGGTGGTCTCGCTCCAACCACCGGCCTTCGAGGCCTTGCCCTTAGCAGCCTCGTCTTAACCTGTGCAGCCCCGCGCCAGTGTCAGGTGACCTCTGCTCTCCGCTCTCCCGGGCTTCACCTTCACCAACTAGAAAACAAGGGAGGAGGATCAGAGCCGGTTTTCCTGAATCACCATTTCTGCTGTAGAATAGAATAGAATAGTGGTTCAGGCTCAATGAAAACAAAGTGCTATAGGAGTCTAGTGAGCCTCTGCTGCCAGGGAGGGCTGCCAGCCTGAGGCCTGTTTTCTCTTTGGAAGGAGGATCAGCAGTGTTACAGATGTTACGGAAACAGCAGCGCCTTACCTGACACGTCTTGGTGACATCTCTGTTATAGGAGGTCCTGGGGCCCCGATGGTCCCATAGTGTGATCTGTGTTAGTGATTGGTTGTGCCATCCATGTGCCCCCTCCCCTCCCTGGGGCCACATGAAGGTCCCTTCCAGCTCCCAGTGTTCCTCTGTTTGGGTATGTCTCTGGTAGATGAATCCACTGGGCTTTGTTTGGCAGTGGAGTTCCAGTCTGGGTCTGCCATGGCCCTGGTCAGGGGCTCATTTTAGGAGGCTTCCCCGTATGCGGGCCTCTGTGTGTCAGATTTTGGGGCTCCTGCCTAGTGGCCACGGTGGGGACTTGAGCAGTTCCACAGCTGCTGCTGTTATGGGCGTGTACTGGCTGGGTGGCCTGGTCGCCCCTGCCTGAGTTTCTGCCTCCTCCCCTGCCAGGTGGCCTGAGAGGCTGCTGCCTGGCCTCTTTAGGGGAAAGGAGACTGTCTCTGCAGAAATCTCTGACAGAAATTGGCGGGGAATTGAAGGAGAGAAACCATGGCCGGGCACAGTGAGTAGCAGGTGGAAGGCAGGGGTGCTCGCTGGGAAGCAGCGCCTCTTGCCTGGCTTGGAGATGGGTACCTGCTGGGGTGCCTCCGAGGCCAAGTAGACCACTCAAAAATGCTTTTGAAGTTTGGGCATCCTGCAAGCTGGCTTGGGGTCCCTTTGGCAACGCGGTGAGTTTTAGATCTGCCTTTTCTTTGGCTTTTGGTGTCACCGCAATGGTCCTGAAAATGCTGCTTGTGAAGGAGTAAAGTTCAAGTCCTCCACAGTCAGGTGTGGCTAGGGAGTCTGGGAGGAGGCCTGGGTCTCCCAAGGGGACGGTTGTGTGAACGGAGAGTCACAGGCCTAACCCAGCCCAGCGGTTGGGGCCCAGGGCAGCCTGTCACCTGCTTGGAGCCGTTGGCAGCTGGGGAAATATAATAGTTTAACCTGAGAACTTAAACGTGGCTCACTCAGACCTCTCACAGTTGGAGACGGCGCAAGAAAATGTGGGTTTGGCTGGCACGGTGGCTCATGCCTGTAATCCCAGCAATTTGGGAGGCCCGGGTGGGCAGATCGCCTGAGGTCAGGAGTTTGAGACCAGCCTCACCAACATGGTGAAACTCTGTCTCTACTAAAAATATAAAAAATTAGCTGGACATGGTGGCGCGTGCCTGTGATCCCAGCTTCTTGGGAGGTTGAGGCAGGAGAATCACTTGAACCCTCGAAGTGGAGGTTGCGGTGATCCAGGATTGCGACATTGCACTCCAGCCTGGGCAACAAGAGCAAAACTCCATCTCAAAAAAAAGAAAGAAACAAAACTTGGGTTTCCCTAATTAGAGAAAGCCCTGTTGTTTTTGCCTTTGGTGTCTCTGAGTATGGCCCATACAGAAGGCCTGGGCGGACACTTTGGGCTGGTAACTCACCACTGATGACAGTCCCGTCTAAAGGGCTTCTGTTCTGATTGTTTGGCTTTCGAGTTATAATCTAGGGTTGTGATTATGTTTAAGCCCTGTGTTTAAAGTCCCCTGTGGTTACACGGGAAGGCAGGAAGTACCGGCCTATCAAAAACATAATAGCAGTAGAAATCACTCATTCTGCACAGCAGGCCTGCGCTGAGTGTTTGACACAAATTGTCTCACGAAGTCCTCAGAGCATCCGGCTTCATCCCATTTTACAGATAAGGAAACTGAGGCACAGGGAGGCGGTGCAGCTTGTCTGAGTCCCCAGTTAGCTCCTGAGCAGAGCTGGGATTTGCACGTGGGTCGTTTGGCTCTAAAGGCTGTGCTCGTAAACACTGCAGGCCTTCTGCCTTCCTAATAAACCTCCTGTAAGGGGGATTTCGTGAGAGAAATATAAGCAATAAACTTGAAGTCGTGATGAGACTTCTCTCTTTGCTGTCACACATGCAGGAAATAGCAAGATGTGGACAGCACGTCCTGCCCGGGCCAGGCAGCCCTCTAAGCCTGTTACACGATGGATTTTCATAACAGCTGGAGGTAGGGGCTCTTGTTAGCCGAGCCTCACACAGGAGGAAGCCCCACAGAGCCGGCCGCTTGGCAGTTCCCCAGGGCCACAGGTTGGTGCGTGGTAGAGGTGGGTTTGGACCAGTGGGTTGGGCTGCTAACCTGTGCCCCATATGCATGGGGGTTAGGTGGAGAGCACTCTTGATCTTGCTGCTTTGTGTTCTTGGGCAAGACCCTAACCTCTCTGGGCCTCAGTTTGGTCACCTGTAAACGAAGACCTTGGCTTAGGGTATGGGAGGCTCTGGCCTGAAGTGGCTGTATCGTACCACCTCCCACAGGGAGACCCAGATGGGTGGGGAGGCCTGGCTGCCACTTCCCTAGAGGAGGCAGGTCTGCTGGGGAGCAGCGCTGGGGCTTTGGTTGGGGCTGGGTGGGACTGGGTGGGGCTGGGTGGGGAGGCCATGGGTGGTTCAAGAGCAAGGGCTTCTGGGATGCACTTGGCAGTGGCCCCATCACTGCCCTCTGTGAAGCAAGGTCCGAGGAGGCAGAGCATGGGGGTACTAGGAAGCCATGAAGCCCTGTGCTGGGTGAATCATTCTTGTCCCTGGCGAACAGGAGGGACAAGAGACTCTGTTCGGGACCCCTGTGCCACCAGACTCCTGAGAAGCTGCAGTGGGAGAAACTGAATGCTGGGCAGTGAGTGGTTAGGAGGCCCCAGGAAACGGCCCGGCCTCTCTCTGACGGTTCCCGTGTGGGCCGTTCTGGGACGGTGGGCTCCTAGCTCTGGCATCTCCCTGTTCCACGTCCCCTCGCCTGGGAGGCCGTCCCTCTGCCGTCGCTGCTCGCCTTGTCCTGTGGTT